CCTTTTTGTGTGGCCTACTTGTAACTAGTGCACTGTTCCACAGACTGCACGATGCTGGGCAATGCCGCAAGCTGTGCTTGATCACTGAATCAATGGTTTCGATTGCACGCCTTGGTCGTTTGTGTTTTTGCTGTAGGGCTGAGGTTTGACTAGACCGCATCATCCGTCAGCAACACATGCATGCCACGTGAGCCCCTCAAGCATGCCCAAATCCTGTGGTTTGTGAGGTGTCTTAGGAGGTATGGTGCACACCTGCACACTTGACAGAAGATAGTGAGAAGTGCAGACAAAAATCATGTGAGATGCCAGCAATACTACTCGTTGGCACTGCTGGCCCTCTTTGCGCATCCGATACCAGTCGTGTGTAATACTACATAGATAGACTAGCACGAAGCCAGGACGCTTGAACCTGCCAAACACGATCAAACATGCTATTTGGTATTGCGGGCTTCCTAGTAGATCCCACGCACGTTCAACAATGAGCACTAGCACCAGTAGATAGACAGGAAATAGATATCCCAAGGTTGAATGGATTTCTCAGCGTCCTTGACGAGATAGATGGACACTCTTGCATCCTGTTGTTGATTTGACATGAGATAGTTTGCAGATTCTCCTCTTGCCGTGGGCGGCATGTGCATGGTTTGGAACACTTCCAATGCCAGCATTGGAACCACGCACGCACACACATAACACACACACATATATATATATACATTTAAAACCGAAAGGATCACACATACTTCCTGATTATAAGCCGTCAAATGGTATGAAACGAATTGGACCACTGGAGTCTGACAAGTCAGATTGACAACTGAGGCCATGCTCCCAAGGTCGACTCCAAGTGTCATTCAGAGGCCATCATGGTTCATAACACTTTGAAACCAAAAAGATCAAGAAAGGCACAGTGAAAAGCACTTGTTTTAGCATTGATTGCTGCAACTGTGTGGAAGAATAATTTTGAGACTTTTGTGCTGGTCCTGGGCTGGAAGGGTCAATGCAGGAAAACGGCCAGGAACAGACACCTACTGTAGTTACGTGAACTCGGTTGTTGGACGGGTCTCAGGGCATGAACAGGGCGAGTCTGTTTTGCTTGACACGCCTGAAACAAGATAAGGTAGCAAAGGCATGTTGCACTTGCAGTACTTGTGCATGTTCAGGTGATGTTCGTCAGTGCCTGAGCAATCTTGCAGACTGCCTCTGCCTCAATCGTCATAGGTGTGTCATACTTGTCATACTTGCAAGGCCATGCTTGATGGCTTCGCAAAACATCCCGAAAACTACGTGGGCCTTACCACCAAGCCCGAGCCTTGGGAACCTCTAACATGAGAAGCAGGCACTGCCTAGTCTCAGAGAAGCAGCAGGTTGGACAAGGTACTGCATTGCGCTTATCGAAAGAGAGAGTCCTGACTTCTGAGGGAAAGAGTTGGCTGACCGCATTTCACACCCAAAGCCTTCACACTCTACGCTATCACTATGCCAAATCAAGCCTGCGAATCATGCTGCTAACAGCCAAAAGCAAACTTGGACCCAGGAGCCACTTCTTCCTCCAAAGCAACGATTAATCCACAAAGGCACACAAGTGGATGTGAGTTTGTTTCACCATGCGCGCGCGCGGCATTCAAACACACTAAAAGAAGAAACGTTTCCGTCTAAGTTAAATTAACAGATTGAGATCGTTTTCAGTGACACCCACTATTGCCCCAATGCCTTTGCACCCATCCCAATTGGCTTGTGAACATTCGATGCCCAAGCTTTCTCAACTGCCTCTGAAAGGTCGGGAAGCAACCCTCACAAAGATTCTGCTCCCCAGAAAGCAAAGGACAACGCATAAACCAGACATGACCAGATACCCACAGGCTGGATCGTCTCTCGGCGTACAGATTCAGAAGTTGCCGTGGATATGATTGCAAAGAGAACATATCACACGTAATTATCACGTTTTAAGATGTTTTTTTAAAGACTCACACACCGCAGTGGAAAAGAATGGAAAAGACACAAGATGGAGCCCACGACCCCGAATGCACCCACGCACGCAAACAGAAACGGCCAAATGTTGTTGATAGCAGGTTCATGCCAGTGCCGCAATGACCGGCTTGGAAACGCCAAACGTTGTTTGACACTCTGGAAGGACATGCTGGGGTGGCACCCTTCTAGATCTTCTAGAACACACTTGTGCGACACTTTTGCTTGACATTCTTGTGGAACATTCTTCTAAAAGGGCTGCCAACGTTTAACACTTGTGTGCGACACTCTTGCTGGACACATTCTTGTGGGACACTAATATTGGACACTCTTGCTGGACACTCGTTTGCGCGACACCTTTTGGAGGACGCTGTCTTGAAAATACAAGCATTTTTGCACAAGACGTCCTCCAAAAGTGATGCGTGAAGCCTGCTAAACGAGCATTTTTGCTGAGACTTCCTCCAAATGCTCATCAGAGCGAACACATCACTCACGCAGCCCTGCCAAGCAGTTTTGCAATCCAAACCCCTCGAAAGAGCAGCCGCTGACAGGAGAGGGCCTGTTGACTATACTCTTTAATTAAGAGAGTCTTTAAGTGGGTCTGACCTAGGGTGAACTTTCCCAACAAACCTGACAGAGTACCTGACACTGTTGGGTGCCCCAGAGTGCTGAAAAGACCAGCCGGTGAGAAACAGTTTAGGCCAATGTTTTGATCCCTCACTCCCCTTGGAGTGGTCGGGCATGAGGCCTAGCTGTGAACACTCTCAGGCGAAGATTCCAATCGCATCCTCTCAAGCGACTTTGTAGAGCTTTCCCAACCCTCTTTGGCTGCATTTGCAAAGCTCTACCAAGTGCGCAACACTTGCCATCACAATTGAACGTTCGCAACCTCCTGGCGTGAGACGTCAGCTTGGTTTCCACTAGCGTTGTGCAATGTCACATCCCAGCTTGTTGAAGGACAGCTCGGAGTAGATGCGTCCCAACCCTGACAAAGAATTGCGCATATTGGACTGGAAACTAGCACAAGGTAGGCCTAAAGGGGGCTTGTGTGAGGATACTCCGCACGATTGTCGCTGATGTTGCGATTTTATGCAGCCCGTTTGGCTCGGATTTATTTTGGTTGGATTTATTGCGGGTCCCGCTCTTGCATGGGAAATTTGAGCACGGCTTTCGATGACCTGGGCTGCAGCACATGCAAGCCCAAAGACAGCTCCAACAAAGCTGTCCGCAGCGTTGGCGCTTTAAAGACCGCGCCAGCGACAGTGGACTGGAGCCAAGCCAAGCAACACAAGTGGCAATTCGATGCTCTCAATGGCCCTGGTCAGTACACGTACAAGAAGCCACCCAAAATCAACAAGGTGACCGGGCCGATTTCGGAGGGAATCAACAAAGTGAAAAAGAATCCTCAGTTGTACTTGGGTATTTTATTCCAAACTGACATGAAGGGGTGGCCTGAAGACCAGCAGAGATATGATCTTGTTCTCCGCAACGGCAGTGGATATCAGTTTGTGGCTGGCCAGGCTCACTTTACTTTTATTCAAGCCAATTATCGGGCTCTCAAGCCCTACAATGAGATCTCTCTGGAACCAGATCAATACACTGACAAGATGTCGTATGGGGGGCTACCGTTGTGGGAAGCCACTTCACCCAGGGCGGGGTCAAGGACTTTGTGATTTGCCCAACATAAAGCTCATTGGTGACGTCCACCCAGATGATGTTGCACAGGGTGGCGTTGGAGATTGCTGGTTGCTTTGCGCGGCAAGTGCCTTATCAGAATTTCACGGTGCTGTGCGGAAAGTATTTCGGAAGACTCCCTACCTGGAGAGGCTGCCCCTTGATGAGCCACAACTATACACAGTGACTCTGTATGACATGAAGACTTGGAAACCAGTGGACGTTGAGGTTGACGAGCGTTTGTGCACGTCACCCGACAGCAGTGGAATTCTAGGTTGTCACCCGTGCTCCCAAGGAGAGCTTTGGGCATGCTATTTGGAGAAGGCCATGGCAATTCACTGCGGCGGGTGGGACCAGATCAATGGGGGTGAGCCCACCCATGCCTGGCGTATGCTGACAGGCTGCAAGTACCAGTATACCTTCTCGAATGAGGGGCACGGATATGAATGCTTTGGCAGCTTCAACCCCAACAAGAATGAATGGGAGCCGTTAGAAAACGCCTACCACAAATGCCGCAGTGTTATGTGGCCCATGAAGTGGCCAGAACTAGGAGGTGGAGGTGCCATTGGCTTCAAGTGTGGCCCAAAGGAGATGTTCCAGCGTATGTGTGCGTGGGATGCCCAGAACTATATGATGGCATTGGGAACTCGCCAGGGTTCCAATTCAAAAAGCTTCAATGGCATCGTAGATGGCCATGCTTACACCTTGCTCACTTGTTTGAGCAACGTTGCAGGCTCTGGGCAGGACCTTGTGAAAGTGCGCAATCCTTGGGGTCAAGGTGAATGCACCTCCAGTCTTTGGGACGACAATGGCCATGGATGGGATCGGTTCCCCGAAGTCAGAGAAGCTTGCCAGCCTGTGACGGCAAATGATGGTGTTTTCTGGCTGAGCAGTGACGAGATGTTCAAGTATTTCCCTACTATTTATCTTTGTGCAATGGACATGAAACAGTTTGTCAAGTGAAACCAAGTGGATTTGAATGCCACTCAGCGCTTTTGTCTCACCCAACGCGCACGAGCCAACCTTTTCGTCGTTGCACGAACTCTTGCGCTGCGAAAACTTTGACCGCGGTTAGCGGTGTTCCCTAGAGCGATGTCCAAACGTTTTGCAAAGCGACTTGCGACACCAAGGAGCAAGGACGCTACTAGGAACAAAGAGCATCGCTGCTAGGAGCAAGGACGCTACTAGGGGCTCCTTGCCTTACTACTAGTAACAAGAAGCTGCTAGGAACAAAGGGACAGCACTGACAACACCCAGCTTCCTGCACTGTCCTGCAAGGTCCAACTACCGGGATTTCCAGGCGAGGCATAAGTATGCATCGGCACAGACTCAGGACTCGCTGCTTATCAATCAGCCAAATCAGCGTGTGGTCTATATCTATCTATCTTTATATATATATGTGTGTGTATACTGTATATACGTATATATAGTTATATTGTCCTTCACACCTGGGCGCTCTTGGCTCAAGGTTTAGGGGAGCCATGGGGCAGGGCAACTCTCAAACTTTTGGCCTCAGCCCACCCAGTTGCTTGAGATTTACCATACGGCCCGAGGAGGTTGCCACCCACCAGACCGAGGATGATTGCTGGGTGATTGTTGGAAACCTCGTTCTAGACTGCACGGAGTACCTCGCCCAGCACCCAGGTGGAAAGCAAGCAATTCTAAACTGTGCTGGGACAGATGCCACCACAATTTTTGACTTGGTGCATCATCGGGGCATCATCAAGAAATACGGCCTTCGAGAGGGAACTATTGCATTGAAAGGCGTAATCAAGCGGCGAGTAGCTTTGTCACTGCAAACCTGCTGATATGCCACACCAAATCCTGTACAAATGCACTGATATTTAATTTTGAGTAGCCAATGCCTTTTGCAGGCTGCAGCGCTACACAAGCTCCACATTGCCTGGTGGGAGTTTGTTTTGGTTTGCCAATAGCCGGAGCAAGGGGAGTTAGGATGAGCTTGGCTTTGCGTGGTCTATCTTCGGAGTGAGAAGCTTCACGCAAAAGCCTGTTTGGAAGCAAAATTCCAATACAACAACAATCAGACAATTTTCAAATGAATGCTTTTGTCGGCATTCCATCCTACCTGAGCCTCTTGCAGCCTGTCAATACTTGAAATCAGCGATGAACGCACTGGAAAAGCAGTTGCACGTCTAGAAATGCATCCTTTAAATTACACATGTGTAATGAATGTGCGCCGAAAAGTCACCTGGCGTTCATTTCACCTTTCTCATTTTTTCCACATGTCAAGTGAATGCCATTGGGTCAGGAGAATGGAAACTCCCAAATGATCATGTTCATTTTAACCGTTGTCGTGCCTCACCCTCTCAGACATTTCACTGTAGTGGCTCATGACTGCTACAATCACGGCTGCAGCATCAACGGACATGGCTACAACATTTTACAATTTCAACCTGCCTGATAGCAGTGTATGGCTTCACTGCAAGTAGAAGCGTGCGTCGCACTCCATCACCAGCGCCAGAAATGTGCAACTTTACAAGACTCTTCTCTAGACGTTGCTTCTTTGGGGTGATTTAGATGGTGTTTTGTAGACTTTAAGTGACATTTCTTTGGAAGTCTTTGCTTTTGGACTTAAGGCACTTTTCTCCAGGCATATCTAGGCATGTTGCTTTTGGTTACATCTTTCTCTTTACTGCTCGATGGTCAGCCCTGACTGCACTTTGAATCTTGAATCCCTGTCAATACATGTAAAATCCTCAATTCCATTTCCAATTTGCCCAATGCACTGAGACAGGCAGCTGCCCGGAGACAACTGGCTCAAACCTTTGACTTTGTGGTTCTTCATTTGTGGGCCTCACCATGCGCCAGCATGTCTGTGAGTGCTGAAGAGGTGGCAAAGCACAACAAGGACAATGATTGCTGGGTGATTGTTGGTGACCAAGTGCTTGATGTCACAAACTTCTTGAGTGGGATCCTTAGCAAACTTCGGGCCAGCTTGCATTGGAAACATGCGAGGACGGCACATCAGGGAAGAGTCAGTGTAGAAGTAGTACGTAGCCCTCCCAAGAACGATAAGGATAAGAAGGACATTTAGTAGGGAAAGATATGGAACCATACTTTAACAATGATTTAGATTCAGCATATGTTTTGCCAAGTAAAGCACGGACTCTTATTGATTTATATAAGCCCTAAGCTCAGCTCTGGAGAATGGAGAACTGTTTTGAGCTATTGTCAGTGATGTACAGGCCTGTTGCTGCCGCTGCTTGTTGCCAATTCCCCAGACCATGAACGTATGGTGCTGTTATAATTGTTTAAAGTTTTTGTGAGGGTAAGAAGCGTTGGCAATCGCCGGCAAGAGATTTCCTTACCATCAGTCACAAGCATGTGTGTGACAAAGTAGGTCTTCCCAACACTGCTTTTGTCTCTTTGACCTTAGTGATTGGAGTCATCCCGACACCATTTTTGTTGAGCTTGCTCCTCACCTCACCTGAGAAGAACTAGGTCTAGGTATTGAAGCAAGTGGTCAAGAAGTGAAGAAAGCTCACCCAGGCCGTTTGGCAAAATCAGACAAGATCCGAGAAAGTGCTTTGTTTAGATTTCCATTGCGATTTCCTATAGAAGGTTGTGCCCCTCACCTCTCAAGCAACTCTTGGACATCAAAGCTCGCAGCAGTGCTCAAATTCACTGTCTACACTTTCAAGACCCTCCTCACCTTTCCCTCACGTGCGCGCACAAGTGTCAGAGACAGAATGAATATAGAGGCACTTGCACACTGATCACCAGCTTGCTCTCCAGGTGATTCCCCCAATTTTCTCCTCAAGTCTTGTTCTATTTCAGATCATGAAGAACTTCACAAATCTCCATCAGCAACCGGGCCTGTGCTAAGGAATTCTGATTTGCTTCTCTCCTTCAGTCCCCTAACTTATTCTTTAGTTTGTCCAGTGACCTGAGCAAAGAGTGCTTTCTCGTCCTCCTCAAGCAAAAGGTAACCAGATTCTCGTACTTTCCTCCAGTCTCAGCTGGTTGAGGATCATGTCAAGCTGGCCCCACTCCAGGATGATGGCTCAAGACTTGGCATTTAAATTTGGTTGTGCTTGACCAAGGCAAGAGGCCTGCATGTGCTTCACCAGTGATGCCAGGAAGGCATACGAGTAATTGCTCCTCTACTTCTTTGCATCTTACTTACTGACTGGATGGAACAGTCCAAGAGGGAAAATCCCACAAACAAAAATTGAACCAAAGCTAGCACTTGACTTCTTTGTTGCAGACCTTCTAGCCAAGCTTGTCCCGCTGTTCGGGCTGCAAGGCTTGCTCGTTCTGTTGCCAGTATCGTCCTGCTCAGCCCCATTTGCCATAGCAAAGCCTGAAGGAGTTGCCCTACTCATCCTATCTCATCCTCAAGGAACTCTGCGTTTTGCCTGCGGGGCCACTGTGGGATATGGGCGCTAGCAAGTGCCCAGGCCAAAGACACTGCAACGAAAGGACCGACCCGTCAAGCAGTGCCGATCCTGGAGCCTCACGTGAGTGGCGCAAAGATCCTGGCACTCTCGGTTGCAACACTTCATGGTGTTCGTGGCGTGCCGGATCGGAAATGAGTGCATGTTGAGTCGAAAGAACACCAGCGCGCCTAGTATTGATAGATACAGATACATGTACAAACAGTGATTGCTTGGATCGAAGAACTCGTTCTGATATGTTCTGATTCACCGCCTAAACCATAAAGATTGAAATGCACAGGAGGCCGGGGAGGCCAGCCACATCTTCCGCGCTTTCAATTGATGAGATAATGTGCTGCAGCGAAATGCTATTTTGAAGAACTGGGTCAGAGCTTTTGGGTTCTGTATGCACCGTTCCGTGCACTAAGAGGATCCTAGAACTCCGACTCCAGCAGCACATGAAACAAAGAAGTTGTTTTAGTTTTGAGAGATACAGGTCAGGAAGCTTTCTTAAATCGGATATTTGTTAAAGGTGTTATGTATAATATATAATTATATTTATATGTACTTACCTATGCAAGCATATTGAAAACATTAGATTCCTGAAATACCAAATCAGACATCCAAGTTTCGGGTAATGTGAACAAATGGGGCAAGATCTGGAATCTAGTTCTTTGATGTTCTTTAGCTGCTTCAGAGAACTTGGATCCTGAGCAGAAGGAACTCACAGAAGCCAAAGAGGCAGTGCGAATCATAATCACCACGATTGCACATTGCACAACCAAGAAGTGTTGCCCCAACAGATCTTCGTTGCAGACTTCTTGCCATAGACGGACAGTTCCCACAAGGTAATATAAACTCAAGGCATTTGTGCACCCCAAGCGGTTTGGCAATACTCAATGCGAGCCGGCAGGTTGTTGGTCCCGGCCGCACAACCCATATTATGATGCAATATGTGACTTGTGAGGCGAGCACCCTGGCGGCAAGAAATCCATCATGATGTTTGCTGGCAAGGACGCCACTGAGGAGTTTGACATGCTCCATGACAGGTCTTGAAGAAGTATGGCCTTGATGAGGGCACCGTTGTGCTGAAGGGCACCATCAAGAAGTGAATCAAGCGCATGTGTTTTTGTGGTTTTGGCTCCTGGCTGTCCAGTGTGAAGCCTGTTCAAGGTTAGGTGCCCCGAGATTGGACACTACCAATGTTTGTGAAAGAGTGTCAGGGCCTAGGGCGGCCGGCTTCAGGTTCAAGGTAACAATCGACAATTGTTCATTTCTTTTCAATTCAATGACCGGCATTCCAGTTAACACGAAGTCTTTTGATGACAGTGAAGGGGTGCAGACATGACCGCGTCCACAAGTGCAACCAACACCAATGGCACAGTACATTTTAGTTGCACATTTTGAGATACTTGAGCACGCATAGGCGCACGTTGCATTCCCGGTTCCCGCAGGCCTACTTTTGGAACCTCGGGATGCCTGATGCCTAGCACAATATGATAATATGCATCAGTCCACATTTGGAGTGAGCATCGCAGTGGTTACATGAGAGCGGAACTCAAAAGGTGTGTAAGATGCACCCATAGAGGGTGGCTGACAGTCACAATGGGGAAGACTTTGGACTCCTGACACTATGCAGCATGCCAGGCATCATTGCCCGCGCCCTTGCATGGAACGAGAGGAGGTGCATTGAACGACGTTGGGTTGGAACGTGGAACGAGAAGATGGAGCGACATTCGAGCAACACTGGATGATTTGTATCGATTTTTCAGGCGTGTGTGAAGTTCGACCAATCCTATCCGTGGGGAGCTGGGCATTGCATGGCATGTGATTCCTGTTCCTTTTTTTTATGTTTCTAATAGCGATAGCCGATAGCCTCCAACCAAATAGCGATGGCCTCCAACCTAATGGCATGTGATTGCATGACATTTGCCAGACAGGCAAGTGGTACAGCTTATAGGTTGCCACGCGCAGCAGCTAGTTTCATGGCAGTATATACTTGTCAGAGTATTTGTCAGATGGAGGCTGTGGCATGGTACTGACCTCTGAACAACACTAGATTTGGCTGGTTTTATGATGCTTAGGTTCGAATTTGCTTGACTGAAATCCAAAACTTCCAAGTACAGTATGCTGGAAGAGGTTGTGGACATACAACATACAGATCCGTACATGAACATTCCGGATCCCTGGACCTGGAAGGGACTCTGGGTAGTCGAAGGAAGTGCAGCAGCATTCCAGATGAAGACCAACGACAGGACACTGTCCCAAGAGGCTGGTAGGTCACTGTTGATGAGTTTAATTAGCGACAGTCAGGAATGATAGACCGATGTCACGAATCAGCAGAGTCAGCATAGCAGATGCGAAGCCATGCAGCTGCGCTGTGGCCCTAGTCAGCTGAGACCAGCTGTGGCCGCCCACGAGGGGGCAACTGCCTTCCGCCGCCCTGCAGCATGGTTTTGATATCAGATATTATTTGATCTCCACGCGTCCAGTCTTATTGAGTGGCATATGGTTGTGAGTGAAATTGTTTGCCACTATTATCTTTGCTCGTTTCAACCACTGCGATTCTTCAGTGGATGCTTCCTGGACGCACCACCTCAGAGATGCTTCAAAGAAACCAGCCCAAAGCACTTTCCACAAATACAGATTTCCAGGGCACCGACAAAGTGGAGCAGAGCTGGCTCAGAAGATTCTGGTGGAGGGTGCTAGCTTGGCTGCAGGACTGAGGGTAGCAGTTTAGTCGCTGGAAGCTTTTGCTTGTTTCCATTCTTTGTGTTTTGAAGGGTAAGTCAAGAGCGTCGTCAGGCTCCCTCCTATGGAAGGCCGCGTTTCCTGCAACGATTTTCGCCACACGGAAGCGACGACATGGCTGGCGAGTTGAGGCAGACCGACACGGAAAAGGCTTTGTGATTTGTGACGTTGCGCAGGCATCAGGTCCTTTGGCTAGCGGCTAGAACTAGAATCGTTGCGAAACTCAATGGAGCTCGCATCATGTGGTCAAAACCTTTGAAGTAAGGGCATCCCTGTCTGTAGGGCGACCATGGATGGCCATGCTGGGAGAGAGAGAGAGAGAGAGAAAAAAAGAAAAAGAAGACGGTCAAGATAATTGAGTTTGAGAGCAGACAATGCGTGAGGCATTTCAGGATGTTTCACGCACCTTGTGTGTGTGATCCTTGCAGGCGGTAGCGCAGTAAATAGACGTGTCTTCTATCTTCTGTAAGTGTTGTCACGGCTGGAGGTGGTTCGCCACGCGATTGTGGAGATGCAGGAAGCCACTGTGAGAAGGGCCGGCGAGGAGATCCATTTTTTTCCGGGAATGCCTCTCGAAAGAAACACATGGCAACATGCTGTTGAGAGTTGCTGATCATGAATCATGGAATCATGTCATCATTTGCTTCGTGCTTTGCATTGAAAGCTGTTTCATGGCTTCGGGCCAGTGAAGACCTGCAACAGCAAGCCCTCAACTTTCCTCAACCGGTTTAAGACTGTTCAGAGCTCTTGCAGCTGCACTTGCGATTAACGATGCAACATAAGATGATATGTATATAACTATATATTTTAAATGTGTGATATGGTTGTTGGCTGGCAGAGAGCATGAAACTGTCGAGCTACTCTGCTTGGCAGCACGTAGTAGGTTTCTTTTGCAGTCAGTTTTTCTCCTGAAAGATCTTGAAAGTGTTTGAGGAGATTCTTTCAGAAGTTGACTTCGAAGTTCCCGCTGGTGCACGTGCTGTGGTAGTTGGGCCAAATGGATGTGGGAAGACAACTTTGTTAACCACCATTGCCACGCGAGACAGTGTCGAAGGCCGAGATAAGACACGTGCTGGGAACAGAACGAGAGAGGCAAAATGTTGTTCTCATCTACTGTATCTAATGTGCGGTTTGTCGCCTTTGCATTTGGGGAAGTGTCAGGAGGCGCGTCACCCAAAGCTGCAAACTAGCAGCTAACTGCATCTAGCTAGTTGGAGTTCTTTTGCCTTTGCGCACGTGTTACATGTTGCCTGTGTTGCCCTGGAACACTGGAAGAGGCGGCTTTTTGAATGTGAATGCTGCATCCATTGCTTGGCTTCAACAAGAAGCTATAAGTGGATCCAAGAAGACCGTGTTTGATGAAGCAACATCGCAGATGAAGGATGCTCGCCAAGGTTTCATGTTTGTTGATTCGCATAAATGATCGCTAGTAATAGCACAAGCGGCACTTGGAGCTAGGAACAACATAATACGCCCGATTATTCAAGAAATGTGATCACTTCTTTCGTGTTATCATTCGGTCCCGCTCCAAAGCAAGCTGAGGCATGTGCCACCATACAGGCCCTTGAAAATGCACAGGCTGCGCTAGAGGCAGCAAACGATAGTGAGGATATCATGAAGCTCGTTGAGGCTTTGGAACAGGCCCTTTGATTCTTGTGTTGATTGACGCTTATCGCCATTGAAAGGCTTCGAGTCTTTCTCGAAAGGAACTTGCTCTAGTTGATGTAGGCCACTGCCGAGTTCGAGGCCGCTGGCGGAGCTGAGATCAGACGCAAGGTGGAGGAAGTTCTCGCAGGCTTGGGCTTCTCCAAGGCAGATGCTGGCCTGGATGGTGCGGCAAGCTTGGGGTGTGTGCATGTATTTGCTTATCGTCGTGCGCTGTTGATTGATTGTGACAACAATGATGGTGTCAAATTGGCAAGACATTTCTTTTGTGTGTGGAAGAAGGTTATTCTGTGCTTTTTGCCTTCACCGACCAAGGATTTCAGGAAACCCTGCTCAGAGCTGAGCGGAGGTTGGCAGATGCGTGTAGGGACCTCGGGCACGCATGCAAATCATGTCATCTTTCCGTCAAGCCACTGCATGGTGGACTAATGAGCTAGAAGATTGATTCAGCATTCGGTTGCGACAGAATTTGAGAGTAATTTAATCGTTTAATGCTCAAACTGAAACTAAAGAAAAAGCTATCACATCCAACTAACTATGACAATTAATATTGTATAGTGTTTTCAAAACGTTCAGAATCATGGAACCTCAATTTTGTTGTTTTCCCGCCAGCAATCTTGGTGTCGACCAGAGCAAGAGGTGTGTTTGATTGTTTGACCATGCAGCCCAACAAACCTGGCTTATGCCAATTATGAGCGTGGAAAGCTACATGATCACCTGCTTCATCAAGCGATCATGCTTGCCTACACGAATATACATTTGGCCTTGCTATCTAATTGCATGAGTGTCTTTATCCCCGCCGCTTGTGTGTGTAGGTCCATCCCTTCAATGTCCATGGCCCCCCAAAAATCCTCTCACTGTAATTATGGTTGTTTGTTATATAGTTTAGTTTAGTTTGATCTCATGTAGCCCCACAAGATAGAATATGTGGTCATTCTGCTATAGATTCTATCAATGCTTTTACTTTTGCTGCACTTTTCCAAGGTTGCCCTGGCCAAAGTATTGCTGCAGGAACCCCAGCTGCTCCTCTTGGATGAGCCAACAAATCATATGGATACCTCTGCTAAAAAGTGGCTTACCTCTTACTTGGCCAGAGGCCAGGCAAACGCCGATACCTTGGGATGTCGAGCAAATCATTTGGACCGAAGTCTCTAAAATAAAGCTCTCCCTTGTTGCCGTTGATTGTCCCCAAGAGAAATGTCATTCTATATTTTTTTTGTTCTTGAGTTCTGAGTAGACTCGGCTACTTTCGAGGGCCTGCGTCTCTGTGACAAGTGGCTGCAAGTGTGGCTACTGTACGATTGATTTTTCCTCACTGGCTGGTCTTCCCAGCTTTTTGCAGGTCTGTCATCTTCAAGTGCTTTGCTTGCACCAGGGGTGGGATCACTCGCACATCACTCACTGAATCTTGAGCCAGTTGCTACAGGGTTGACATTTGTTCAATATGCTGTCCCTAGGACGCAGTTCAAGAGCACAGTGGGCAAAGCCTTTGGTAGCTATCAGTAACAAGTGCCACGCTAGTAGTAACAGGTGCCTTACTAGTAGTAACAAGAAGCCATTAGAAACAAGTGCCTTACTAGCTTGTGAAGTTGACTCTGAGGCACCTTGCTCCTGGTCACGCATGACCGAACGCTTCTCGAAGGGCTTAGATGCTCACAGGTCTTCGAGATCTCGGCGCTTCGGTGCACAGTTGTGGCACGTAAGGGTTCTTCTTGCTTTCTCAGAATGGAGAGCCAAATTGTAAGCCGCAGTGAGCCCGGCATTTTCTTGAGTCGGGCAAGTAGGTATCAAATCAGAGGGAGTCCAAAAGGAATTCAATAGGAATCAAAAGGAAATCAATAGGAATTATACATATTTTACAGTAAATAGTTTTTGAAAGGCCCAAACATTATTTTGGGGGGGTTTACTAATCGACCCAAAAAAAAAAAAGTGTGCAGACACTATCTTAGGCGGTTGAATAATAAAAATCATGAGGGAGCACTATATGGGCCTAGATTAGCATGATTGTTTCAAGCTACATGCCACGTGACATTAAGGAGAAGAGAGTTTTGCGCTACGACGTTTCGGGCATTTCTGAACCTTGGGCACCATTAAACTATAGTCAACAACTCCAAAAATTATCCTAGTTTGTCATTTTTTCTTTCATGTCCCTGAAAGACAGCACATGTTCAGTTGCCGATGCTCCTCAATCACTTGATACTGGGCACCGAGGAGTGGGAGAACAAAAGGAAGACAAGATTGGCCAAATTGCAGAGGGAGATGGAAAAACTTGAAAACACTATGGCTCATGATGAGGCATATGTCAAAAGGCCCGTGACAACATGTTCATGCACGAGCACAGCAGGTCAAGGAAGCCGCAAAGGATGCTTAATAATTCTGGCCTGCAGTCATTTTTTGTTTCTCAACTGTTGCAGGTTTGGCGCAAAATCCAGCCATGCTAAGCAGGCTGGCAGATGTTTGTTTGCAGCACTGCTCAGGTTTTCGAGGGTGAGGCTGTTTTGACTTGACGCTTGGCGGTACCGCTGACGGCGGTGGAACGTATAGTAAAATAGCATCAGTACAAGCACAAAAAGAAAAAAGATCCTGCGCACTTTGCCAAAGAGCATCTGCAACGAGATTGAGAGTTAAGACAGCTGCCTGTAGGCACAATCTCGCATGAAGAAGCTTGCTAAAGCCCAGACACAATTAGAAGGTCTCCGAGCAGAAACACGAGGTGCGGCAATGTATCAACATGATATGTTATCTTGGAAGATCAATGCCGGAGGTGCTGCTTGCGAATCTGACAGAAAACCAGAGTTGTAGTTATATACATGCAAATGTCTCTCAGCTGCTGCATGGGATGAAGCTTTTGTCCTTTGTGAGGCTTGCCTTCAAGTGCCATTTTAGATGGAAAGAAGAAGGAGGAAGGTGCTTTGAGACCTTTTTGCGATTGCACTGTTTGCCCTTCCACTCAGACTGCTCCCCCAGAAAGACATCATGTCTTTGGCTCTGGAATCTTGAACTGCCAATGCAGGTGATGAAGATGATCTGACTGATGGCTTGCTGCCTTTGTCTGGTCCTGGGAAGGTGAAGTTCCAGCTACCGGAGTGGCCTTTGAGTGTCTCACCACCGCTGGATGGGAAGCTTCTCCGGCTCAAAGTCACTTGGCGAAATCAGCGCGGCACAGCTTTGTGGAGGATTGTGGAGGAACACATGCTGCAAGTACTTGCTGGCAAATGATCATGCACTCCATAAGGCACACTTCTTTGTGCAGTGCGTTGCTTTGACCAAACCTTGGGCGACCGTTGTAAGCCCCAGATGTTCACTTAGCTACATTTTGCGGACGTTGTGTAGAAGCGATAACATCAGGTTAGTTCGCTAGCACAAGAGCACACAGTGACCCGTGCAGGTACCGACATTGCACCATAAATACTTTCCACAGTGTCAGTGAATCCAGTGCCTGACGGCTTTGGATAGAACCCTTTTGTTGCTGATTCCTCCTCTTGTGACAACTGTGCATCGAGTCGGGTCGAATCTGCTCAGCTTTGCGGTTTGGTCCGGTGCATGCATGCCTTGTGACAGTGCTCTTAGCCGGGTGTTTGCGCTAGCCACATATAGACCATGCAACCCGTCGCAAATATGCAATTATCATTCTTCTAGCAACAGTTTGTATGTGAGGATTCCTCCTTGAACGAAAGGCTATCAGGTCTACAGCCGAGGTGATCTGATACATGTATATACAGTTGTCAAAGCTTAGATTTGGTTGCAATGAGGACGCTGACATTGGCTACAAAGCTGCTGAGCCTGTCCTCAGGGTGGAGGACATCACTCTCGCAACTGTCATTGTTTGGAACTTGGAAAGTCCAGCCAGACAGAGGAGGGCCATTCTGCACGATCGGCTTACGGGAGAGGCACCTTTAAATGCATTCTGCTCCTCGGGCCACCTGGTGGTCGGGTCAGTAACAGAGTAAAAGCAGTTTGTCTATGGCAAGCTGGGAATCTCGGATAATAAGCAGATTTCAGGGTGCGGGAGCAGCTTTTGTTTTGTGCGGGCTCTTGAGCTGTAATTAGTAGCACACTTCCTCTCCACAGTTGCAGTTGTAAGCATTCTGCTTCCTTAAGGCTCAAGGGGTATAGCATTGCTTCCGCAGAAAAACCACTACTAGCCTGCTCTGCACGGGGCATACGCGGCAGTCCCTTTCTTACTGTAATGGTAGCGGGGCAGTGGCCTTGGAAGATTTAGGCGGGCTCCAGATATCTCCAGATGCTAGCTACTCTTCAGGTTTGTAGATTGAGCAATGGACTGCACCCCATAAGGCGTATGCAGTAACCCCTTTTTCAGGGAGGGGCAGCCCAAGCACAGGCTGGAAGACCCAAGCGGCCGAATTCAGACCAGGACACACTGTGCACCACACCCAGATATCACCTCACCAGAGCATGCTTGCCAACATGACCACCGACCACACATCACATCGATATATATATATATATAACGCTTCACGACATCACGCATCAAATGGCACCCCCTCACCATGATAGTGCTTGACCCTGAATAACAATTTAACATAAGCCCGCATTGAAGAACTAAACCGGCTGTGAAACATATATTTCTGCAGGAACTGGTCCTTGCAGCGGGGCAGCGGTGTGCTTTGTTGGGACCAAATGGATGTGGAAAGACCACTTTGCTCCGGACTTTGGCAGGGCAATTGGAGGCAAAACTGCGAAGCGATATGAGTTCATTTAGATGAACTGGATTTCTACGCCCGTTATTTTGCAAGGAACCATGCTTGTGATGTTTGTGTGCCTTCATGTGGCATTGAAAGAGGTGCGCGCCGGTGCGCGGATCCTGGGAGTTGGAGGCCTGCGCAAAGCGAGGGTGGCATTTTTCACCCAAGACTTGGCTCAGGAGACCTGGGAGGGCAGTTGAGTAGAGGAAGCAAACACAAAGAAACACACGTCGGAGGAGACGGTTCAGGATGCGGTTGGTGATTAATTGCTGCTTGTGCACTGTTACGTGCCCAGCTTATCCCATCTCCTTGCGCTGGCACAGGAAAAATCCTTGCCGAGATAAGTTCAAAAGGCTGAACATAAGCTTGCTGAACACACGTTTTAGGATGATGGGCGCAGGACCTTCCGAGTGACATCACCCCAATAGACCACGTGCTGGCTGATGATGCGCCTTACACACTAGATGTCCAAGGGGCACGAACTGCGTGTGGGTCTCGGAACGTGTTTCTCCCCATGGTTTTGGAACCTACCCATAGGTGTTTCATGCAGTTGAGCCTCAAATCTGCATTGCCGCCCAAGGTTGGGTGCCCTCGGGCTCCGGGGTGCCTGCCACAAGGCCCAGATTGGTACACTTAGTGGTGGAGAGTCTCTTGTTTGCACCCTGATGGACTGCCGGACTTCTTGGTAGCACAGACAGCGGAAACTGTTGAAGCTGAAATTGTATCAAAGTTGGCATTTGCATCCACAACAGCCCCTTGTTATAGTCATGTATATTCAATAGTTGACGCATCACAAGTTGCCATAGCCAGATGGGTGCAGCATTGCATAAGGAAAGCCCGAGTGGCACTTGCAGTCTTTGCCACCCGACCTGCAGACATCCTTTTGCTGGACAGCTCGGAGTGAACTGGGAACCGTGAACTGGTGAGAAGAGGGGGGGACCCAGACCCCATTGCTACTTGTGTCCCACTGATCCTACCAGCTTCGTCAGGATGAGCCCACCAACCACCTAGATGGTGCTGCTGTGGCGTCATTATGTGCTGGCTTGCGTGAACACAAAGGAGTGGTGCCTGTGGTGCAAGGTGAGACGAAGGAAACACAGCCAGTGACAAAGAAGGGCTGTGGTTGCGTGCTTTTAAAGATTCAAGCATGGCTTAGGCACACAGCCCAGATTCAGATCTGAGGTTTTAGTGGCATCGCATGACAAAGCTTTTTTTGGAAGCCTTGCAAGTGACTGACCAGATCTTGGTCACCCGGGGCTCTTTGGGAGAGCCAGGGCGGCTGACTGTCGCTTTGCTATACCATATAGTTGTAGTTTTAGATAGTTTTAGTATAGTTTACCAACCGGCTTAGCTAGACGATTGCTGTGTCGCATTTCCAGTAATGCTCCACCCTTACGAAGGCAAGAAATGTAGCAAGTGCTTAACAAGAACCGCATTGAGCGCCCGAGGTCAAAAGTGAGCCCTACAAGCGACATGGTTGCACTAGTGGTGCCCCATGTGTCCATCGACATGATTTTATGATGTTGCACTATGTTGCACTATGTGCCACATGACTTGGTTGATATCCGGTAGACCCATCAAACTGCTGAGGCGTGAGATCCTGGGCGACAAGTCCAAAGTCGAAGATTTTGTAAGTTCCGCAGCTCATAAGATAGAGGAAGCGGAGGACATGGAGGAACTGTCTCCGGAGTCAGGCGGGCTCCAAGTTGGTGGCATTTTGTCTGTTGGTTTATGTTGGTTTAAGCTACGGTGTTGAACTACTATCGAGGCCGCGCTCAGAAATTGAAAAAAGAAGAAAGCAGCTTGCCCATAAATTATATAGATGAGTTTTAATTTCCTTTTATTTCCTTTCCGTATAAGTTTTCAACCTGAGCTGTCACTCACACACTAAGGCCCTTCGACAAAAGATCGAATCTGCATGAGCCTTACGGAAGCAGGTTGCATGTGTTCATCGGCACATGGCTTATGGATCAGATACGGCATCGTACGGCCAAGTGAGTGTACAAACATGCTTTTGAGATCTTTTGAGGTCGTGACTCTGCTTGTTCTGAGGTCATGGATCGAATTGAGCAGGCCGAGAAGAAGTGGGAGAAGGCGACAACTTGAATTGCACAAAGAGGGCATCAAAGTTGCACAAAGCAGACTTGCGCTAGCAGGAACTGCTTTCATTGTGCAGGCCTCTAGTAAGATGAGTGAGGAATACAATGAGGAGTTGGGTTGATCGGGTGAAGAAAGTTTTCAAGGTCACGGGCGCAGTGTTGGCTTGAAAACACCTCCTAAAATGGATCTTTGTATTGCGTCATTATGTCAATTATGTTGTCAATTGTGTCATGTTGGAAAGTCATCACCCAGTAGAGGTGGGCTTAAGAGGCAAGAATGTTTAGCACGAGCGCTACTTGGCACGAACACCACAAGTTCCACATGTACCTACTTTGCTTACCTCCTTTTTCTTGGGCTTTCGCAATTCCAAAGGTGTTGGTCACACACACACACACACATATATATATATATACATATATGTAAATTCGTCCCCGTATTTAAAGACGTTAGGACCGTTCAGTCTCTGTCATACCGCAGCGTTGGCTTCAGCTGGCGGATGTGGGGGCACGCGGTGACGTGCTCCTGCACGTTGTGCCCTTCGGTGAGGCGGCTCCATCGTCTCATCGGAGAAGGCACTCGCCTGCAGGAGGCCGACCTGTTTGTCGGGTACGCTACCGTCAAGCTGCGGAACGTGCTCGGCGAGATCCAGGACTTCTTGGACGTCCACCCTCTGAGGGAAAGGGAGGGGTCGGCACCCCCTCCTCCCGAAGGGGGTGGTTTGACTCGGGGGCGACCAGGACAAGAACCTAGAGGAGCTCCAACCCCCCGAAGGTGGCAAGGCAGAGGAGAAGAGGCATCCAGAGGTTGAGGAGAAGGAGGACAAGGCATTCAAGGAGGTGAGGACTCGGCCAGTCTTTGAGGGTGAAGGGGGGAAGCAAAGAGCAGCAAGAGGAGGCATTTCGAACGGTGGCAGCCAAGAGCCGATCCACCCCAAGTGAGCGAGGTAGCAGGGCATCTCCAGGATCTGAGATTGAGGTGAAGAAGGAAGAGGAAGCTCCGGACTACACCGTGGACGACAAGAAGGAGGATTACACCGGCGTTAGGGAGGTGATCAGCGAATCTCCCAGCCGTGACCCCCCAGGAGGAGGAGAGAGAAGGCAGTCAAGCTCCAAAGAAGAGGCGCCATCATCATCGGTCAAGATCAAGGTCAAGGAGGAGAAGAAGAGACAGGAGAGAAGAGAGGTCTGGTTCCAGTCCGCCCGTGGCGAAGCCCAGCAGGCCTACAGTGACCTTGGAAGAGCCCCGGAGACCGAGATCGCCATCACAGCCCCCCTCCTCACTGGAAAGGACCACTTCCACGAGGAAGGAACGAGCCTGTTCTGAAGCCTAGACCTTCCAAGGCCACGCCCAAGGAGGATTCAGGCACCAACAAAGGGTTGAAGAAGAAAGAAGCGCAAAAGATCTTCAAGGAGTACGTCGCTTGGAGAAAGGAAGAAAAGAGGAAGGGACGATAAATGCCTCCCCGGCCTCTCAGGAGGCCAGCCGTGGGAGACAGGCGACCAGCTTTGAGGCGAGGCAGAGATCGAGGAGGAGGTGAGAGAGAAGAGCGAGAAGTTCGTCGACGTCCAGCAGGAGCCGAAGAGAGGATTCCCGGCTTTGAAGAAGGAGGAACAGTTGACGCCAGTTCTCTCCCAGTGGGAGTCCTAGTCCCCGGACTTCGACTCCTGGGAGAGGGAAAGTACTGGGGCAGAGACATTTCAGATCCAAGGAGGAGCTCTTGAAGTCCTGTCCCAAATCAGTGGGACTGAGGATGAGGGATTTGTGAGATGGCTTTCAGGCCAAAGTCGACCTGTAGTTCGTCTTCACCTATGTCCAAGCGATTGTCCAGGGACGCCCGAAGCAGACGACCTGATCCACCTCAAGAAAGTACAGCGGAGGAGTGCTTCAGATCCGGGTTGGGTCGACAACATGAAAGGTGCCAGCGGCATGGAGGAGCTAAGGAGGTTGGCAGAGCGATCCGACGCAGCGGCCCGGGCGACAGGAGGAGGAGCACCAGCCGGGGCCGAAGTGGTTCCGGTGCCAGAGGACAAAGAAGAAGACAGAGAATCGAGCGAGAGCAGCGATAAGAAGAAGAAAAGGCACAAGAAGAAGAAGAGGAAAGCTTTCAAGGTCAAGGCAGTACAGGCTTGGATCAGGACCCCAAGACACGGAAGAAGGTATCGCGGCTGGCCAGAAAGGCCCTCAAGAAGAAGAGCAAGGGTTCCAGCTCCACGGATTCAGAAGGATCCATGGGGGAGCTGGGAGAGGACGACCTGGACGGCCTTTTTCAGGAGAGCGCCCGGACGCAGTTGGCGGCCAAAGTGGGGCCGGCCTATCATGCCATCAGGCAGATGCGCAAGCAAATGCAACCAGTGGGCTTGCAATTCTACAGGCAAATCCTCAGCCAGCGTATGAGCCCGGTGATGAGCAGGGAGGCCTTGAATGTGTCAGCAGCCTTGGACGCCCTGATCGGGTGCCAGCCCGCTCTCGCAGCGGACATCCTAGTCCAAAGATTGAAGAGCTTGGAAAGCATCAGTGGAGGAGCAACATGGCAAGTGGCTCAGCGCTTCGAGGTTGTTCCCCAGGATCTGGGAAGTCTGGCTACGATGGCAGAGTCTTGGGCCGCGGCAAAAGAGAGTCAGGAGGAACTTCGCAACAAGCAGTTCCAGCGAGGTCAATGGGACAGTTCAAGCTGGAAAGGCGGCGCGAGCGACATGAAGGGCAAGAGCGATTCAAAAGGGAAAGGCAAGGGCAAAGAGAAGGATGGCAAGAACAAAGGAGGTGGCAACCGAGGACGTGGCGACAAGCAGGAGAAGTGAGTGAAGAGGAGCGATTGACAGAAGAAGAAGTCTCAGAGGAGTTGAGGAGAGTTCGGAAAGAGATGCCCAAAGACACAGCCGAGTTTGGATGCGAGAGGATGCCTATGCCAACGGCTCAGGTGGTGGACTATGAACCTGGGTCCTTCGATCGTACAGGCCTTGGAGTTGGGGGTGCCGACCCACCTGAGGCGAACCAGCAACCGTCCGAGATGGATGTGAAAAAGCCTGCCTGCGCGGAAGGGTGGATTGGGGAGCTGTCGTTTTCGTCGCTTTGCAAGGTCTCGTCCACGGGGGATTTGTTTCCCTTCCCCCTCGACAGTTTCGTGAACCACCCTTCGTTGCCTGAAGTTGATTCCGGTTTGTCTTTAGTCGTGAAAGGGCTTCTTCGTGGTTTGAATCATGTTTATGGGTGCGAGGCCTCACCCGATCCGAAGATGAGCGCAGCACAGGTAAAGGTTTGCATGTTTTTGATTGAAGTGGCAAAGAATTTCCTTTTTAGATGTCCGGCTCTTCCCGAGATGACTTGGGAGGACTACCTGAGAGTAAAAACTATCGACTACAAGGGTGATGAAGTAAAAGTGGCTCAGATGACCAGTTGGTCGAATCTCAAAAGTGCGCTTCCCGCAGAAGTAGGCACAGTACCTTTGGAGAGCGTGGTGTCACGAGGGTCTCAACACTATGTGCTTAACTTTGACAGCTATCTCATCCCCGAGGTGGACCAGGTTCACACCAAACCTCCACGGGTCATGGTCCCTGATGGTGAACGGGAGGACTTGTGCAGAGGACTCCTCACCAAAGGGATCTGTGGACTGATCAGGGAGGACCAGATCTACAGGGTCAAGGGCAAGCCATTGTTCAACGGTTTTTTCGGGGTCCCCAAGGACGAGATGGATGGAACTACCCCTGTTCACCG